GGGCATTTTTTTTTTTAGGAATCAGACGAAACTTGTCAAATGAAACAATGAGCCAGTTGATTTAATTGGGGAAGAAATCCCTTTACCTGCCAAGGGAAGCCGCGCAGAGATCAGTTTTTCCCGTTGATATACAAACATACAACATTTTTATACCCTCCACAAACTTACATTGATGTACAATTGCATTATTCATATTAAAACTTTTTATTGATAAGCAATTGAGAATGTTCAGAACTATACAATTTTAAGTCCATTATATTAAAACTTGTATATAATGGTAAAAAATGAGAACTAGAAATAACAAACAAATTGGTACATCTCAAGTAGTGTTGTTGGTGAACTTTATGTTTAGTGTTTAATAATACTAACTTATGAGCATTTAAACTTATGTATTTGAATTTAAATTTTATACATTTGTTCATGATAAATCGATACAAATATTTTGATACAATTTGAGCAATTTTTGAAATATTTTTATAGTAAAAATAATTAGTTGATCACTTTAATATATTTGCTCGTAGTCGTTATTTTGATACACGAATTTTATAATCATTAGGATTTAAGTTTTTATTTTATGTACTTTTTTCTTCAAATAGAAACCAAAAGGTCGAAATTTCGACTATAAATGGAACGCATTTCTAATGGTTATATAACCAAATCATTGGTTGTTTTTTGTACAGGTGGTACCTACAATTGAACGCATTTCTAACACTTTTTCTACTTTTGGAAGACTCTACGTTATATAACCTTATCTCAAATTTATATATATATATATATATATATATATATATATATGTAATTCTTACTCTCATTTAGATCATTGATTGTTTTTTATGCAGATTTTAAACCCCCCCCCCCCCCCTCCCAAACACCAAGTCAGAGGTAAAAGGGTTCTGTAAAACCTCGAAGGACTTAAGTTGTGAGATCAATTTTTCCTTTTTTTTCTTTTTGATTTTGTTTAGTTATTTTCTTGTGATGGTTTTTAGCCAATAAAACTCATTTCGATGGAAATTTCGAACATATGGTTTCTATTTGAAGACAAAAAGTTATATAACAATATGAATTTAAATCCTAATGAATATAAAACACGAGAAATGAAAATATGGCTATGAACAATCAATTAAAGTGATTAATTGAATATTTCAATTATAAAATGTCTTAGAAATTGCTAATAATTTATCGAAATATTCGTATCAAATTATCATAAAAATATAATTTTAAATTAAAAAATATAATTCTAACTATTTGTAAGTTAGGATTACTCAACACTAAACAAAAAATTATAATCTCAGGTTGCGGCTTTTTCTATTTTCAAGAAGATTAAAATGCCACTTTTGACTTAAAACTCATTTTGGAAGAGAATTGACCTCTGGATTTAGAAAGGGAGGGAAGGCAATACAACAATAACGCATTTTACTGGTCAATACCATCAATGGTCACTTACTTTTGATGTTGCTAACACTTGGTCCCTTATATTTTATTTTTAGCATAAATGTTCACCCTTTCATAGTCTATAAATAGCACCACCAAATCTCTCTAGTTTTCTGTGAAATGATCGAGCAGCTGGTCGAGCCCCTACAACGTGGCACTCACGATCATGGCCAGCTTCCGAGATTTTCAATTTGTCTATCGATAGTTGTCGACGGTGAGGTAGAAGTTCCAGGCCAGCAGGTCGTTGTTGGGCTCGTCAAGTCCACAAATATTATAATTTGTGGCAAAATCATTTGTTAAAAAGTGAGCTTTCATGATTAAAGAAGGCCCTCATCCTTACTGTACAATTGGAAAGGGATTAAAAAAATCCAATATTAATACGATGATCATGAATGAAATGAGCGGATTAGGGACGAAAGCTAATGATGGAATAATTTATGGATTAATAAGTTTAGTTGTGATGATCACGTTGTTGAAAATTTGTTTGTACACGTAATTGTGAAAGAGTTGGAAGTAGGTTGATTATGTATGCCCATAAACATTATGCATATAGACCCAAATCTTCGTCAGTTGAATGCAGAACAACAGGAGACTCTCGCAATATTGTGAAATGGAAACATATAGCATGCTTTAGAGAACAATACAGACGAAAAAGAAGATGAAGCCATTATAAATCATGGCCATCAGTATGTAAATAACATTCAATACAAATGCTCACATTAAACAAATAGTTGGTAAAAGTATTTTTTACACTCTTATTTGTGAAAGTGGCAAACCGATTTCTTTGAAAAGTGGTCAACCTCTTAGTCGAAGAGGTAGATCGTTTTCTCCAAGTCATTGTAGCAAAGTCCTAAATAGTTATATAAAAGTTTTTCTCCGAAAAGTAGTTATGTAAAAAGTTTTTGGACCTCTCGCTGAATCTCCATAATAGTAGAGTAATTTAACGTAGTTTGTTCCAAAAAGCCATAAAAATATCAAACACTTTCCTCTGGTAATTGTTTAAAGAGCTGTGACTCATGAATCATTTTGTTACTCGTGCTCGATCACATCATCTAGTTCAGCTATAGCTAGAAGGTGCAGTGTTAGCTTCACGGGCTCTATGTCACTATCTCAGTTGGCATGAGCTTTTCTGAGGTACAAATTCATTCAAATGAATTTTCTCGACGGGTTAAAAACTACAAATTGTGGGTTGAATCACCACAATCAGTAGCGGAATCAGCTCCCTGTGTCAACGCTCTCATCTTCACTCACAGAACCAAAGGGATCGGAAACAGAGGAGTCGAAAGCTAAAGAAACAAAGGTATCATTCCCCGCCATATATACTATAGTGGTAGAAGGGTGCTTGAACATCTACTCAAAGCCGCTTCAACCATGATTAACTGAATTTGGATGGTATAATTAACATAAGGGTAGGTTTGCGAATGTGATCATAGTAGAGGGGTAAGTTTGATATGAAAAAGTAACAGAGGGACAAGTTTGAGAAAATGCAATAGTAGAGGGACAATTTATGCTATTATCTCTTTATAATTTTATCCTTGCAATCTTGCGTATAATTATGAATTGTAAGTCACATAATTTATTATTATTAAATTATATATTATTTAATTAATTATATTTATAATTGTACTAAAAATTTAATTAAAATTGTAGATAAATTGTATTGATGTCATACAATAAAAAAATTATATAATTTGAAGTGCATAAATTGTGTGGGGGTAAAAGGAACAACATATGTAATTGATTTTGCAGTTGCATTGATGTGATGTGTATTAGAGTACGAGTAGTATTAAGTTATGTTATAAGTAATGTTATGCAATTGGGTCAATTGGTTCTTGACATGGTATCATACCCTCAGGTAACTCCATATACACCTCCTCCTCTACGCTACCATGCGAAAAACACATTGCTCACATCACATCCATTTGATGGAGATGCCATGCTTTTGCTGCTGCAATAGCTAGCAACAATTTGACTAAATTTAGTTTAGCCACAAATAAGAAAGTATCAACAAAATCAAATATCATATATCATCTGAGTGTACCCCTTGACTACCAATTTTGTCTTGTATACAAAAATCCATTTGTTACCAACAAGCTTTACTCTAGGAGGTTTGTCTGCTACTTTCCATATCCCATTATCAAGAAGAGCATCTAGTTATTCATTTACAGTCTGCTACCCGCATGCCTCTTTAACATCTTGAAAGTAGTTTCTGAGGATCAGTGAATGAAGAGATTGATAAAATGTAGCATAGGTTATTTTGATTAAGGTTTGAGTAGTCTTAGTGGTTTCATAGGGGGTAAAGGAGTTTGAGGTCATGAGAATCACAAATGGAATTGATCATAAAAGCAAAATGGTGATCTTGGAGATGAATAGGTTGTTTAGGAATTTTGGTGGACTCCTAAGCAGTGGAGGTGTAGTAGTATCACCAGAAGGAGGTTCAGGTGAAGGAGCTTGTGGAGAAGAAGTAGAGAGTGTAGAGGTGGAAGGGGATAGAATGGCAGGTGTAGAAGTAACTGGTGAAAGAGGTGTAAAATGATCATATTCTGTATCAAAAGGATAATATTCAGGATCTGTGGTTTCAACGGGTCAATCATATTTGCCTCAATATTTTCCCCACACGGAGCGGGTAAAAACGGCCCTGCCCTAACTTGATTGAAATAACAAATCTCCGCCAAAAAAAGACATAAAATATATGCTAGAAGGAAAAAGCTTGATCCTAACGCTCATAATATCCACCGGTACATAGGATGCAGTAGTTTAGTAATTATTAGTTAAGGACAATCGTTAGCATCAACAACACTTGGGAGGAGGATGCAACCACCAAATGACCAGAAAGTTGGTGGGAGGAAGTTGGGACGACGACCATCAGAAACAAAATTATGAAAACAACAAGGATCAAAATCAAGAGGAAGAGTGCAAGTGGAATGCTGTAAGTCTTATTTCGCCTTGAGAAACGAGCTGTTATGATATTAGGGGAATTGCAATTCCCCGTAGTTTCAACTTTCAACTTGGGTAAATGTATCTCTTTAATATAACGGTGGTTTCCAAGTAGCTTTAACTTAATTGCAACATTGAAGTAGGAGAATAGCATAGTGGAGAAGTTGGTATTGGATAATTTACAGGAGAATTGGGGTTGGCGGGACGGGGCGGTGCAGATCGGGTTCACTTTGCCATCTTTAGGTGGCCACATATTCAATTCTAAATCAACAAAGACAAAATGTAATATGTGTTTACGTAGCTATTGGTAAAAAAAAAACATCTTCTGTGGCTAATGTAGTTACCTCTTTACAGGAAAGAGGTGCAATGGAGTTTGTTTTTTGTTTAGAACACTCACGGACACGGTGAAAATAAAAAAAAGTGGAACCTATTTTTGGTTTCCAAAAAAAGTTGAACCGATAACCTAGGCATAAAGTAGATTCTTTGGAGTTGTTATCTCATGTTTGCTTTCGTGAAAAAAATACCAAATGAGAAGCTTAGTCAACTATTCAATCAATGATATTGAGCATGTTTTTCATCTCTTCTCGAGAAAGAAGTGGGCTATTTCTTTGAAAAATTGTGCTCAATTTCATATGTGGCAATTCCGCCAAAACCTCTTCCTTAGTTGGGTTAATAATTCACACGAACCGAATTTTTTGAGGAACATACCGAGAGAGGATTGGATTTGGTTAGACAATGTGTGGTTGGTAAACAAATATTGCTTTTTGGCAATGCACGGAATAAATCATCCAATATTCAATATGATTCTACAAGATTAAGTTTCGTTCAAGGAAAGGGTTCTACCCAATTGAAGGGATCTTCTGATCAATCTGTCAAGAACCATATTTGAACTGGTGCCACAAAGATTTCAGTCCTTTACTCTACCAGCTGAACTATCCTGACCATTTCTAACCTACCGACTTCTTCACTTTACTAAATTGATTGGGTCTATGTCAATTGAAAAAGGAAATAATGTTGGTGTTGTATTAATGGGTGACGGGTTAATGATACAAGAAGGAAGCTCTGTAAAAGCAACATGAAAAATTGCTCAGATACCCGCAAGTGAGGCTTTTTTATAGCTATATCTTAAGAAACTTGTTTTTCTTTCCTTGGAATCAAACTTCCTTTTATGTTCCTCTCCACTCCATAATATCAACTTCATTGTACACAATTAGAAAGAACAAATTAGACATCTCTCCACAAACATAAAGAAGATTAGTTGTTTAAGGAATATATATTGCTTAGAATATTAAATAACCGGAAAAATTAATTATATGAGTGTGGGCGGGTACCCATGAGGCAGGTTTATCTAAACCCAAACCCAACCCGGTGAATAGTGTAGCGGGTTTAAATCCAAACCCGACCCAAAACCCGTCAACAGGGTTTTACCCACGTTGATCGGGTTGGGTTGGGTGGGTACCCGTGGGTTCGGGTTTTGTTGCCATCCCTAATCTAGAAGCACAATCACAATAAGGTATTGGTAAATAACTATGGTGTTCGTCCCATAGAAGCTTCAAAGAGGTATGGTATTGTCTGATTGTTTGATTACCTTGCTTAGCAGGTTCGATTTTCTCTTGTAAATTAGCAATACAAACAAATTTCCCTTGATTAAACTTAAATCTGAGATAATTCTAGACCTCTGAAGCTACCCTGATATTTCTTAAGTTGGGAACAAATATCTTCAGAGACTGAGTTCTTTTATACAAAATTCCAGAATTCCATTCACTCTATCCCAAATGTCATACATAGGACCAGAAAAGAGTGATACCCATGGTTCTAAAAAGTACGTCTAGACATTCGCCTAAACTCGCATGGGACCAATATCTTCAGACGATGAAGATAGTGGGGCAGGTGATGGAGATAATGATACTATTGGGAAGAATGAAGAGATTGCATTCGGTGAAGGTAATGATGTCGGTGATGGAGATCATAATACCGATATTGAGAAGAAGAAACTGTTGATTATCATGATAGTGGAGCTTGTGATGGAGATGATAACGTTGTTATAGGTAGAGTTAATGGAGCAGTAAAGATGAAACAATAGCAAAAGAAAATTTTGATGTAATTTTTGGCGTGAGAAGTGAATCGAAGTGTAGTTTGGTGAATTTTATTAGGAGTGAATTGACTTGTTTTGTCGTTGAATCGATTAGGATGTTGGAAAATTCTACAATTTATGTTCCTTTTTATCTTTCCAATAATTGGATAATTTGTTTTCATGATATCAAATAAATACATATTTTATTTCTTGCAATTGTTATTGTTATTTATTACATTAACGAAACACATCCGGTCCACAGGCCGAACCCAAATCCAGGTTTAGATTTTGATGAGAATTTATTTTATTATGTGTATGGATGTGCAATGGTGTGGTTTGTACCGGATCGCACTGAATCGACGCTTGGAACCGAACCAAATATAATGTGGTATGGTTCTTGATTTCATGAATTTTACAAATATTGAAGAAAAATGGACCGACTTGACATTTGGACCAGACCGAATCAAACTAAATGCAGTGTTTTCCAATCATTGATTGTAAAATACATTTCATTATTTTCTATGAATTACATCCGGATTGAACCGAACCGTTGCACACCTCCTAATTTTTATGCGTAATTAGGGCACTATATTTAGTAGGGCTGGCTATTTGGACCGGGACCGGATGAAAAACCGGAAACCGGACCGTATAACCCGGACCGAGACCGGATAGTAAACAATCCAATCCAATCTTTGGGCTTAGATTTGAGGTAAAAAACCGGATAAAGACCGGATAAGAGAGCTCAACACCCAAAACTTAAGGGTAATTTGCATAAACGGTCACAAACCTTTGCACTTAGTACAAAACTTAACCAACTCCTCACCCTTTTAGGCCTTAGGCCACTCAAATTCCCACAATCTCAATATAAAATCAAGACCGAATTGGGACCGGACCGGGTCAAGACCGGACCGGATCAAGACCGGACTGTATCCAATCCAATCTTCGGTCCTTATATTTTCAAAAAACCCGGACTGGACCGGATCAATTTGGGCCAATTTAACCGGACCGGACCGTATAGCCACCCCTAATATTTAGCGACACACTGGAACATATTTTCTTGTTGCCATGGCCCATAGGCTCCGGCCCGCTCCCGGCTTTATGCATAATTAGGGCACGATATTTAGCGACACACTGGAACATATTTTCTTGTTGCCATGACCCATGGGCTCCGGCCCGCTCCCGGCTTAACAAAGGGGGGGAAAAGAATATACTTTTTTTAAAGGTTTTTTTTATAGGTAGATATACTCAAAGAAACTAAGAAAGAAAAGGAGAAATAGAAACTGAAAATTGAACCAGTGATACATTTCGACCGCCAAATCCCCAAAATTCCTCTCGTCTTCTCCCACTTTTAGTCCGTCGACAGAATAATGGGCAGCTCATCCAAGGACGATTCCGGCAGCGACGGCGAGGCTTCCAGCGGCGACACTCCGCCTCCTGACTCCACCCGCTTCACCGAAGGCGAGCGCGTCCTCGCCTACCATGGTCCTCGAATCTATGAAGCCAAGGCATCTCTTCTCTCCTCCCTAAGTTCTGGATTTATTCAACTTCCTAAGCTCGGTTTCTACTAGCTGCTAGACCTAGAATTTTCTTTAGTCATCCTTTACTCGACGCCCTTTCCCTCCGATTTCACTGTTCAATGGGCTCGCAGTTTATTGTGTGTTTTGGCTGCTGAGAAATCTGAAGTAAATTGAATCCGAGTGAATGAGTAGATTGAGTTTAACGGAGAAGCGGTGATCGAAGTTATGATTTGGTAAACAAGTCGCTGTCTCCTTGTTCGTTTAGCACAATTGATTATCTCTTGTTCTCCTCAGGCATTTCCTTTCTGTTGCTCTCACCTTGACCAAATGAATGTGCCAGTTGAGATTTTATTTACTTCAGTGGGGTAATTTCGTTTGTTGCCTTCTGTATTTTTACCTTCTGATCTTTCAGGAAGTAGGTTTCTAGTTTAGTCTTCTGGGAAGTGGGAACTAGGAGGTTTGACAGGCAGGCTGAATTAAGTTCTTCGAGTTCGATTCTGAAACATGCGATTGTTGACGCTAGTGATTTTCTATATGCTTGGTGTCAATAAACTCACATTTCATTCCAAGTCCTCTCATTAATGTAGTCATTTCTTTTCTTTCTAGTTTTCCACTATTGGGCTGAGTTATGCTCACCACTTCTTTGTGATTCTCAAGCCACTGTACTGCTTTAAATTATAGGTTCAAAAGGCGGAGCAACGGAAGAAGGATTGGAAATACTTCGTCCACTACCTTGTAAGCTCCTTTTTTCCTGGCTCCTGATGTGTTGTTGCACAGTTATACAACAACGTATAGTTAATTTAGGAGAGTTGTATGCCTACTTTTGATCTGCTGAATGCCTGGACTTTCAACAGATTTTCATATTATCTTGTTTTCCTTCTTATTTTGTACTGAATCTGCTGCTGTTTTTTATTATTACAGGGATGGAATAAAAAGTGAGTACTCCTACCCTTCAACTCCTTCCCCTCACATCCCCCAGCCAAACCCTCGTTTACCTTACAATTCATTCGTGGAGACTTCTATTTTGTTAAGTAGTATGCCCCTTTCATTAACGGGTACAGAAATCATTTCTGTGGCTTGGACATATTGCCAACAGTTGGGATGAGTGGGTAGGCGCCGATCGGTTACTGAAACATACTGAAGAAAATGTATCGAAGCAGCAGGCTCTTCACAAAAAGCAGAACTTAGACAAGAATTCAAAGTTGGGACGCTCTCAAACGAAGCCCAAAAATTCTGCTGGTTAGATTATCCTTAATTCATTTGTTGTGCTTATTGCAGAAACTCTTAGTAAATAACGGCTACGCAGTTATTTGCCATGGTCAAGTATTGTGCTTTCAAGAATTGTTGCAAGTTTGTTTATAGTTCTATTTTTGTATTTGTAGATACCAAGACAGATAAGGAAGATACAAAAGGCAATGGTTGGTCATTTGCTTTTACGCTCCTTTCTTTATCAGCCTCCGTTGAATTTCATTGTTATCAAAACAAAAACAAAAAACTATTGATTGGATCTTTTGAAATACTCCCCTGTGGTCGTTTATACTTTATATCATGCCCTATTACTATGAGATCAAAGTTCATTCTCTGTGTCGGTTTTCCCTTGTGCCCTACTATATCTTCTTGAACCGCATTCCTTTGGAATGTTCATTGTTCTTAATGAACACTTATGTTTCTCACAGCAACAAAAGGCAAGAAGCGCAAAGCTGACTCAAATGCAGAGGTAAGTTCATCTAAAGAAATACAATCCTGGAATAACTGTTTCCCTTAGAGGGGATTTTCTTTGATGCTACTGCTCTACTTGCCATACTCATTGTCGGTCCTGGTTTCCCCCTTTTTTATGGCATTTAGCTGACTTACCTTCATACATTCTACGATCTAATCTTATGAGTTGCAATATATATATAAAAAAAAAACAGGATTATACATCTCTGACATATTTAGTTGTTTTTTAGCCCACGCAAAGTCGCAGTTTGTAAGCTGCAGTCTAATGAGGTTTTCCATTAGATAATTGCCAAATTTTATCCATAAATAGAAGAGTTCAGAGAAATTTGTTTCTTTCTATTTTATGATTTTCACGAAAAGTTATTTACAATTGCTGGTTTCCTTTTGACAGAAGGACAATATCTCCATGGAAAAGCAAGTCAAGGTCCAAATTCCATCCACACTTAAGAAGCAACTTGTTGATGACTGGGAGTTTGTCACTCAGCAGGATAAGGTATGTTGTTGACGCCTCCTTATGGTAGGAGCTGATTTCTTAAACGATGCAGCTAATGTAACATTTATGATTTCTATGTTAGAAAATCTTCCACTTCATGATTCCTCTAGTCATAAAAGCTCACAAGGTTGCTTATTGGAAAGAATAATTTTGTGTTTCTCAACTAATTTGCTGTAAAGTCATCCTTTAAATACAGCAACATGGAGGGTTTCCCTTTTACTGTAACCTTTCTATTAGCCATAGTATTGGAATTGCAGTAGCAGCCAAGTGAAAATATGTTGCTTTTTCTTGCTAAAATTTCTTCATTGGATAGTTATGGTTATCTGTAATTTTCACACCATATTAATAGCCTCGGATACTTGGAAAACGATAAAGTTCTGATTTACAAATGAAGAATAAACATGTCATCTATCCACCAGCCTTGGGAGTGACTGTTAATGCCTCTGGTTGATACTTTTTTTTTTCAACATCCATCACACCTTAAGTCTGTTCTGAGAAATCATTCTGTTCCTGCAGCTTGTTAAACTTCCAAGATCGCCAACTGTGGATGACATTTTGTCCAAATACCTCGAGTACAGGTCAAAGAAGGATGGCGTGTGAGTCACTTTCAATGTCTGTTATAATTAACCTCAGTAATATTCTATCCTTATATCCTGATGAGGTTCCCGTTTGGCATCTGAGTACTCATCTCTTTGGAATCACCTTAGCAATGCTAATTGATTTTTAAGATAATTTGCTGAATTAATTAGTGGTGCCGAGGTCCCTATCTCTATGTTTTGCCTGATCCTTCTGACGACTGCATATTCCTGCAAAGAGATGTCAATGGTTGGAGTGGGTTCTTAAACTTAATGGATTTGTGTGCTAAAATCCTGAACTCGCTGTTGTATGCTATAATCCTGAACTCTACTTCTTGGGCTTGAACCAAAACAGTGAGATATTCTTACTTCTTTTGGTGTTATTGAAATCCAGAATGACTGATTCTATAGGAGAAGTTTTAAAAGGGATACGATGTTACTTTGACAAAGCATTGCCAGTGATGCTCCTATACAAAAGAGAGCGCCAACAGTATCAAGATGTTATCAAAGAAGACGTCTCTCCATCAACAATATATGGTGCTGAACATTTATTGCGTCTATTTGGTATGCTCTTTGGAACTTTGATTCTTAGTTTGCGTCTCTCCATTAACCTGATCGAAGAAAATCTTATCTCCTTTCTTTATATCTACACATATTGGAGCTGTGAATTGACGTAAGCAGACAAGGTTCATCTATCTTTACTGGTCATGAACACAATCCCCCCCCTAAACCATTTTTCATACTGTAGCATATTCATCGAGTCCATAAGCTTTAAGATGGAACTCGTGTGTTGTACATATGCTTAATTTTGTGTTTGGTAGAGCATGTATTCTGCTTCTTCGTTGTGGCAGTCTGTCATTTACATAATTTTTTCCCCCCTATCTGCAGTCAAGCTACCCGAGTTGCTGGCATATGTTAATATTGAAGTGGAGACACTGACTCGCTTGCAGCAGAAATTACTAGATTTCCTCAAGTAAGCTGACTTTTCCCATGCTGATTCGCTAAATAGCTGATCGTTGAATAATCTGGGTACCGACCACTTGGCAAGAAATGCAAATCAAATTTTAGGTCACCCCATTCTAGAAGCCTTCTTCCATCTAAAGTGTTAAACAGTTATCTATGTGGAAAGCCGAAAGCCAACAACGCTAGGATCCTGGACAGTATCATGTATTCTTGTGCTAAATCTTTCCTTCTGTAATGTATTGCATTTGATCGGTGGTAACAGGTTTCTTCAGAAGAATCAGAGCACGTTCTTCCTCTCTGCGTACGACGGGTCAAAAGTTCCGGAAAGCAAAAGCAAAGGCAAAGATGAATGATATTAATAACTCTGGTAACCTGAAGCAGTTTCTTAACCAATTGAAGAGCATCATTCCAGGTGTTGTTGTAACGTGTAACAGTTACTATGCCTATTCTTTCCTCTGAGGTCTTGTACATCAGATTAGATACTGGAAAGCATATTTGGAAAGACATGAACTGGAGCCATGGACTGATTACATAACGATTGAAGTGTTTGTTTCATGACTCTTCTGTCTTGAACCCTCCTCGTCCTCAACATCCCATGTACCATGTAGAAATGTTGCATTCAAAAGATGGGTCTTGAATTAAAACAATTGGTTCAAATCGGATAATTTGCGCAATTGCCTTTTTTGGCAACATAGAAAAGGTGATGCAGCCATTGAGTTGATGCAATTTGAATTGCTTTGTTTTGCATCAATTTGAATAGACAGAGTCTCAAATTACATCATTTCTGAAATCCCTAAATCACACCTTTATAATGAGCACTATTTGCTTACATATATTAGAGTCTGATTCATTGCCAATTGGAACTATAGTGACCATTAATGGGATTATGGGAACGAGTCAACTATTCTTGAAATAGGTCTGTCACAAGATTATTATGTGCTTGACAAGAAATTATGAGCCAGAATTCATGGAACAGCAGGAATTTCCATGCCAGAGGCTGAACGTGCTTAACTAGTGCTCCTGAAAGACCACCCTAACTACGAGTTTAGCTGATTAAAGTTTGAAGCAGCTTTTGCAACTACTAACTGCTCATGCGAATACAAATGAAGGGAAGAGGATCTTGCGTTCTCTTCTTCCTTCAACTGTCGGAAGGAATCCAGCAGTTCAAAATCCTCTTGTCGATGTTGCTACTGCTTACCCTCCCTCGTTGAAGATGAAAATTGCATACTCACAGTATCTCAGAAACCTGCATCATCCGGGGACATTGAATTTCAGTCATAAAGAAAGACATCTAAATACCAAACTTCAGTGTACTATTCCTGAGAAGGATTTGTTCCATAAGTGGTTCAAAGTAATGCAGGACACAGCTTACATTTATAGGCATTTCAGCAATGAGAAGGCCACAACTTTCCTCCACATTCTTCAAGGTCACAACTTCCCCACCGGCAACCACGTTGATAACAATCCCATCTGCAGATAGAGCGCGTAAGCGTGGCGTTAGAAAAAAGACCTTCATGCAATGTTGAAAATCTGCAGCAACATCCCAAAGAAAACAAACCTGCAGCTAGACATGTGCTCACTCGTCTCATGTACATTTCCTGCATGTAAGTAGAAACCATGATAAGAAATCTGATGGAGATCATTTGGTTTTTTATGCTAACAGATACGAGCAGATATCACAGTGTTCTACCGGCAACCAAAGTAAGCAGAAGTTGCATAACGGCTGCCACATGTATAGGAAACAAGGTTGATCATTTGCTCGGATAATGATTGCTTCAAGAACTAGCGATCCACTATTATTCTCACACAATGACAAAAGAGAAAGGGAAAAGGCAGAAATCAAGCTAGAAGAGGCTTAATTGCGTTTCATTCGCTTTGTCTGATTCTATAAAAACAGTCATGCAAATCAAATGGATACGCAAACTGGAGGCAAAAAGAAAACTCATTGCTAATAAATGATGCGTTGCACATGATCTTCAGCCGACACAGATAGGCATTACACCGTTTACACGAACTGCAACGATTGGTAGCTCATCAGGAGAAAATACCTTCTTCGTTGGTAGCTCGTAGTTGATCAAGATACGAGCAGCGATAGATGATTCCCCACTGAGAACTCCTGGAAGGCAAGCATCCGTTACAACTATCATCTGGGACTTGTTCTCATTGTTCTGATTCTCACCATCGTCCCCGAACTGAACACTAGTCATAGCACTCTCAGCCCATTTGATGGTCGCTTGCCTAAATGTCTCCAAGACTAGGGTTCTTTCTGACTCAGCTAGGTCGCTGTACTGGCCATGGTTTACAACAGATGTTTTTAAACCATTGTAACTCAAATTCAAGCTAAATCGACATTCTCAAAGCCAGTGGTAGCACTTGCACGGGGAATTAAGGAAATGAGCAGTGCGTACCAGAGACGCAAGAGAGATGTCAGGGAGGTTGGAGACTGCAGAGCATACAGCATCGAGTTCGTCCCTCGAGCTGCAGCAAACCGCCATTGGAATTCCAGAGCGGCGGCCGGCTACACCTAGCAAATCTACCAGCATCTCCTGCTCGGACAATTCAAAGGGTTTCCATTAAGGCGAGTGAAATTTTAGAATTATTCAGGCAATTGAGACGAGCTGCGGGAAAACTAGGCGTACCATCTTGAACTGAAGTCGGTCGACGGCAAGATAGAAGTGACGCTGTTGTTGGCCGCCACTGCCGAAAGGGTTAGTGACTTCATTGAAGTGGAATTTGAAACAGGAACGAGGGATGAGAATCGGAGAAGGAATTGGAAGAAAACCTGAAATTGGAGGCGGTCGGAGAAGGGGAAGACGTAGAATCCATTGATTCGGTTATTGCCATGGCGCTTGGAAGTCGAGTAAATAAAATGAAACAGAATTCAACTCCACTCGCAGTCGCAGCGATGCGTAAAACCCCGTATCGAACCGGTCCAGTTAAACCGGACCGTTTCCAAATCGTACGTCTCAAAGCCTCACCAGCTACCACTTTATTTCCTTCTTCTGCAACTTTTCAGACTTCTCTTCCGTTTCTTCTCCGCCGACCCAATAGCGTTATTCTGCTAACCCTTTAAGTGGTTAGCAGATACTAACAGGGTGGGATGATGATCCACGTCGCCGAGCTACCATCGGAGGGTGAGGGATCACCGGCGCTGTGATGTGAGGGGAAGATTTTTTTGGGCAAGCCGAGCCACTTTTGGGAGAACTGGGGCCAGAAATTAAAAAAAAAAAAACCCAAAATTTCAAACCCAAAACCCGAGCTCAACACGCGTCAGCCATTCTCCCCTCTCTCTCCAACTTTCGAACCCTCTCCCTCTCTGTTTCTTCTTCTCCCGAAAACCACCACCAACAGCGACGACGGCTGCAAGGTCGGCGACGGCTTGTTGGATCTCCCGCCGACGACGACGTTGAAGCTATCCCGACCGACGAGGAAGAAGACGCCACCGACGAAGAAGGAAGAAGAAGACGCCGCCGACTTAGCCGACGAAGAAGGCCGTCGCTGTAGCCGCCGATAGTGGGAGGTAGAAGAAGACGTTGAGGTAGAAGACTTCTCCTCTCTTTATTGTTCATTTTGTTTGTGGATAGTAAGTTAGGGTTTCATGGATTTTTTTTTGTGGAAATCTGGGTTTTGTTTATGGATTTGAAAATTTATGGTTCATGTGATTCGATTTAGGGTGTTTAGGGTTTTGATTCTAGATTACCAGATTTTGTGTCCGTGGGATTCGAATTTGGGGGTTTAGGGTTTCGTTTCTCGATTTGTAGATTTAGGGTTTCATGGATTCGAATATGGGTGTTTAGGGTTTTGTTTGTAGATTACCAGATTCTGGGTCTGTGGGATTCGAATTTTGGAGCTCTGGTTTTTTTCTTCTAGTTACCAGATTTATGGTTTCTCGAATTCCATTTTGGGGGTTTGTTGGATACGATTTTGGGGAATCTAGGTATTGTTTGTTGATTCCTTGATTAAAGGTTACATGGATATCAGTTTTGTCACTTCCGATACTTATTCTGGTCATTTTATATATTGTTTCATTATGGTTTCTCGAATTCCATTTTGGGGGGTTTGTTGGATACGATTTTGTTGAATCTGGGTATCGTTTGTCGATTCCTTGATTAAAGGTTACATGGATATCAGTTTTGTCACTTCTGATACTTATTCTGGTCATTTTTTATATTGTTTCAGTGAATGGGGAGACCGAAAAAGAACTCAAAGCCCAACAATGAGGGAGAAGGATCATCAAAGCAGCCACCGGATGAACAACAACCACAGGTTTCATTTCTTACTTCGTTTCTCGATTGTTTATGTTGGCTAAAAATTACTAGTCCGATGCATTTTAATATTTTCCTTCGCTGGATAGTTTTCTTAATATCTAACTATGTTTCAGGAACAACCCGTGAGGAAGAAATCCAAAACTGTTGCACCAAAATCTGCAGCGAAATCTCGTGAAGCAGCTGGATCATCACAGCAGCCGCCGGATGAACAACCACCAAAGGTTTGATTTCTCACTTCGTTTCTCGATTAGTTATATTGGCTAAAAAAATAATCTGATGTGTGGATATCAGTTCTGTTAAGGTGGATACTTAACTGTTCGTTTTAGTTATTTTTCTGGATATTATGGACATTTTTTTCATGGATATCAGTTATCTCCGTTTGGATACACTTTTGCTTTACTACGATAATAATTGTATGTATTGGCTAAAAAAATAATCTAATGTGTCTGATGTGTGAATATCAGTTCTGTTAGTGTGGATACTTAACTGTTCGTTTTAGTTATTTTTCTGGGTATTATGGATATTTTTTTCATGGATATCAGTTATCTTCGTTTGGATACAATTTTGCTTTACTACGATAATAATTGTATATAAGTGTGCGTTTTAGTTATTTGTCCAAGGATTATGGATATTTTGCTTAATATATAACTGTGTTTCAGAAACAACCCGGGATGAAGAGAACGAAAATGGTTGCATCGAGATCTCGTCAAGGAGAAGGATCAAGGCAGCCGCCGCCTGCTATTCCAGAAGTTGAGGAGGAAGATGAGGAAGAAGATGATGAGGGAGAGGGTCCCTGCGGCTCATATTTCAGATTTCGTGGCTCCACCTATTCCCTCTTCAAAATTATAAACTACTAGAAACAAGATGCTGGATACTATGCAGCATGCAAGAAAGAAGTCGAGAAGGCAGGATTCGGGGGCTATTGGACCTTCGCATGTCGAAGATATCCAATGTCGTCATGGACGACTTGATGGCTGCTTATGACTCCTCATCCAGTACTTTTGTTTTTGGAGAAGGAGACTCGAAGAAGGTCTTCGACTTCACAGCTGAGAATGTGGCACGTGTCTACGACCTTCCTCTCGGTGGGGCTGTGATTGATTTGAAGAACGTTGAGGGGGGGATGCTCGATAGTTTCAGCGAGGAAGTTGGCATGATTCCTAACAGGGCTCGCATGGTTCCTATCAAGAAGCTGCGGGAGTTGGCCATTCCAGCCAACGGTCCTAGACCACCTGTTGCAATTGCTGTCAAGCAATTCTTGTTGCTAGCTACTAGTTCGATGCTCGTGCCAACATTTTCTCGAAGGTGCAAGCTGGACTTTGCCCCATACCTAGGTGGGAGTGTTGAGGACGTGAGGGTGTACGATTGGTGTACATTTATTGTTCGTGAACGGAAAGTAGAGTTGACTGTTGCC